AAGCGCTAGTGGTTAATTTTCCAGCTGTTTTTAATAGTGATTTCAGTAAACACTTTATCATGATTCGTTGGGCAACCATACTATCTTAAATCGTGCCTAAAACTAATCAGTAATCACTAAACACACTAATCACAGTAATCAGTCTAATAATAGCGCGCCAAACGGGCGACGGCGAACACGGCCGATCGGAGCAAAACAATAAATTTAAAAATATAGTTCGATATTATCACATCCGCCAGAGGCCAGAGCCCAGAATATTATCACAACATTTTAAGCATCGTTTTAACTTTTAACATTATATTATTATAATAAGCATAATGAATTTATTGTTTTTTATTAATATAATTTAAATGGTTAACCTTATGAATAATTGTCATGGAACATTTTTAGAACCAAATTTTCCTCAATCAAATGAACGTATTTCAAGAAAATACGACTTATTATATTAAGAAGCCTAAAAAATGATAACGATAAAAATTATTATTATGTAATTATGTGTGTTATTCTTATTATATATAAATATGTATCCACAATAAAATTTTACTTTTAATGTAATATTTGAAATGATTGAATTTTAAAAATAAAATTTTTTTGTAGATATATATATAATATATATTTATATTAATAATATATTATATTGATTATTGATGGGCATGTTTTAAACTTTTTTTGGATAGGTATCTAATAAACGTAGGTATGTATATTACCAACTACAATGGGAAGTCCACTAATTATAAAATGTCAATGTCTAATGGACATCCATAAAAATCCATTGTGGCTTATCTACCAGTTACTTTCTATGAATATCTAATAGATATCTACATAATATCCCAAATGTACTGGACATAAAATGGATATTTGGGGTGTCTAATATATATCCAATGGATGAGTTGTGTTATGTGGGTACAAGACATTTATATAGTTGAAAGTTCTTATATTTATATTCACATATTCAAATAGGTAATATTAATTAGCAATACTTACTTATTATTTTTCACACATTTTTGTACATTTTTCATTCGTTGCCTAAGGGATTTTATATCTACTTTACTTCTTTCCTCTAAAGCTCTCTGCTTCTTTGCAACCATATTTTGAATAATCAACAAAATTAAAAATGTACGCGCCAATATAATCACTAAATTCTATAAAATATATTCACTTAATGATAATTAGGTACATACTATAAGATGACAATAGACAACACGTTAGTCGTTACACTGATCAATGCAGAATACAGTGAAGTCAGTGAACTAATAACAACTAACTAATAAGTATAGTTTCTGAGCTAAAATAATTTACTTGTGTACAAAAATAAGTAATAACTAATATGACCAAAATTATATAATTTCTTTTTCGATCATATTTTGTCTATATTTCGTAGAATTTATTTAATAATAATGCAATATAAAATATGTTATCATTATAAATTATAATGTGATATAATTGTTCTTATAGAATATCATAGGCTGGCGATCGTAATATTATAAACAGTATTAACTATTCAATTATGATATTTTTGTCAATAATTGAATAATATGCCGCATATCACCAGTTTATACTTTATATTCTGAGAATTGCGGCAATCATTAACTAAACCGGTGTTGGCCTATGGGCGATGGATATAGTAATACTGTAGGTCGTCTCCACTGGGTGCGCGTTAAAAGAAATATAATTAATTATTTTCGTAATTTTTCAGATCAAAAAAGAGGTTTTGCGGGAACAGACACCATTCAGTATACATTTATAGCAAAATATCCAAATTTTCAGAGTTCATAAATGAGAATTTTATCTATGATGTAGCGTTTTTATTTTTTCGATAGCTCAACTCAATAATTTAATAAAATTAAATAAAAATTTAAAAATTTGATACATTTTTACAGATTTTTAATTTCATATATACTTACACTATCGAAAAAATACGAACGCTACATCGTAGATAAAATTCTCATTTATAAACTCTGAAATTTTGAACATTCTACTTTAAATGTATACTGAATGGTGTCTGTCCCCGCGAAACTTGTTTTTACACTAGACATATAGGTGTGTGGCGTCCTCTTAAATATATTATATTTAATAATTAATGTAGAAATAATTTTTAAATATTTTTAATACCATTTGAGTTTGGGGTAATTTGTTCTATTTTTGTTCATGTCGCGTCGTCGCCGACGACGATTAGCGATTATTATATTTTTAAGGTCTGGTTTGGCTGTTGCGACCGACTGCAGCAGTCGCCGCGTGCAGCTGCTGCAGCGACGGTCGCGCGTACTAGAGATGGTTTGTTTTCTGCAGTCCACTGTTGGCAGCCAGTTAATGTTCTAGTAAATTCTAGTGTTCAACCGAACGTCGATCATGGATGACGCTATTGTGGACTTGATCGTGCACATCATTGAAGAAGAGGAACGAGATGAAGAGATAATTCGTCTGATGATCTCAAACAAAAAGAAGAAGAAAACACACGGCATGTTTACGGCTCGACGCACAGAAGGTGCTTTTGAAAATCTTATAACCAGGCACCTCATAGACGATGAAACCAAATTTCAAGCTTATTTCAGACTCACAAGAGAGCAATTTGATTTTGTATTATCTGCTGTTTCTAAAGACATCGCTACAGTTCCAACAAATATAGTTAAATTTCCCATTTCACCGAAAGAAAAACTGGCTGTAACTTTAAGGTACCCTTTTTTATAGGCTAACCATAATATTAACTCTATCTAGAATAGTTCTATTCATATATGACCATTGTAAAATTTTTTTTTAGTTTATCTAAAAATGAATTATTAATAAATTTATAACTATGATGAATAATACATATAGTGAATTAATGAAATAATTAAATGCAAAGAAATAAGACAGACATTTTTATTTTCCAAAAACAAATTATATAAATAAAAACAAATAAGTTATAAACAACTTTGACCTTTAATATCTGAAAATCATAAAATTAATATACAAACTTAAAAACTTTAAACATTGACTTTTGATATTAGTAACAATTTAAACAATTTATAATAATTTTTATCAAAATAAAACAAATCAGTTCTTTTTTTTTAAATAAACAATATATAATACAGTAGGTATAAGTTAATATATAAAAACAATTTATAGTAGTTCTGAAATATTATGAGATAGTGATGGTTGAGAAGATACTGAAGACTGAGGTGGAGGTGTTTCTAATGGCTGGTAAAAAGTTTTTGGCATACTTGATTGTGGTTTATATGAGTACTGTTGCATTCCTTGTAGATTTAATTGTTGAGGTGGTAAATGATAATAATATTGCTGTTGTTGACTTTGCGTGTATTTAAGTTGAAGAGCTTGTAATGTTTGAAGATGTTGTATTTTAGCCTCAGAAATCAGGTGTGGTGGTAATTTTTTTACAGACATAGCAATACTTTTATAAAAAAAGTCTATATCGTCCTCAACATTTTTAATTTTACTTAATGTTTCCAACATTTGTTTTCTGGAATCTTTATTCTGAATTAAAATTTCTGTAACCCTATCACTTAGATTCCTTTTTTTTTTTTGGAATGGAACATGTGTCACTTGTTGATGGTGAATTTACTAATGCAGAATCATCGAAATAAACGTTTTCTTCTGAATCCATTTGGTTCCCAAAAACACCATCTACATTTACACTGCTATTGCCAGATATGTTAGAGTGAGATCTGCTATGAATTAGTAGAAGAAAAAAGTTATAATTTATTTTGTACAACACATAGGAGTTAAAAATTAACTGAAGCAACCTAATAAAGATTTACCTGCTTTCTTCTGGATCAATTTGGTAGTCAAGAACACTATCTTCATTTACAGTGCTGTTGTGATCTTCTAAGTCAGATATATTTGAGTGAGATCTGTGATGATTTAGTAGATGAAAAATGTTATAATTAATTGTGTATATTAGTCACTATTAGGCATTAAAATTTAACTGAAGCTGAATAAATATTTACCTTCTTTCTTCTGAAACATTTGTGAGGAAAGTCAAATATTTAAGTAGAGGCCAATTTGTTCCCTTTCGTGCGGCAGACCCGGTTCCTAATTTACCTTCTCTTTTTAGCCGTTTATAATGGTCACGTATAGAACGCCACCTTTTTTTACAATCTTCATCTACAGTAAATAATAATTAATTGAATAATAATAAATGAAAAAAACCGGAAACTCGCTCTGCTGTACATTGGGAACATTTGGCTACTATAATGAGTAAATTAAATAATAGTTTATAATTATAATTATTTATTTTATTTTTATAATCTTATAAATTATAGTTCTATAAATACAACCTTTAGTCTATGGACTATGGTATCTAAATATTAGTACATAATATTATCTTAATTCTCAATCTAACTTGTCTTATCGATATACTTATAGTTTTTAATTTATTACATTATATTTATAGTTTTCATGTATCGTTATCGGCGTGTCTCTATCATGACGACGAATAACTAGTAATATATTATTAATATTCAGTCCATTTTTAGCCACCAGTGTAATTTCGTCTTCGTAATTCGACGAGTACGGCGAATTGTTATAAATATATTTTACGATTTTAAAATATTTGATTCTGTTTTTTTTTTTATTTGAATATTTTAAGATTTTTACGTTCGATTTCGGTTTTAATTTTTTCGAATTTGTTTTCAATTTTGAATACCGGTATTGTATTTTTGAGGTTTCAATTTCGATTTTGATTTCGATATCGGTCTTTTAACGGTTTTAACCGGTATTCAAAACCGATTTCAAGCCCTGGTTCAAATGTGACCCTGCTACTATTTATATTCATTTTAACTTGTAGGTATTTAGCAACTGGTCAATCATACAGATCATTGGCATTTGACTTTCGGATTTCACATTGCACAATATCAACCATTGTCAAAGAAGTTGTTTCAAGTATCTGTGAAAAACTTGTACCAGTATTTTTACCTTCACCAACAGAAACTTATTTTAAATCTTGGGCACTAGAATTTTGGGAACGCTGGAATTTCCCAAATTGCGTAGGCGCCATCGATGGGAAACATGTTCGAATTGTATGTCCAAAAAAATCAGGTTCCCTATTTTTCAATTATAAAAATTACTTCTCCATAGTTCTACTAGCAATAGTTGATGCAAAGTACAAGTTTTTAGCCATCGATGTAGGTTCGTATGGAAAAGAAGGCGACAGCGGCATTTTTTCTAAATCATCAATAGGGAAACGAATTTATTCTGAACAGTTTGGGCTACCTCAAGCTTCTCAACTTCCAGGTTCCAACAAGTGTTTGCCATTTGTCATTGTTGGTGATGAAGCCTTTAGGCTTCATACTCATATAATGAAACCATACAATAGAGCTCAAGCAAAAGAAGATTTTGAAAAAGGAGTTTTTAATTACAGATTGTCTCGGGCACGACGAGTATCGGAAAATGCATTTGGGCTACTTAGTCAAATTTTTAGGGTATTTTACACCCCCATTGCAATAAACCCGGACACGTGTGATTCACTCATAACTGCTGCATGTTGCCTCCATAATTTAATTAGGGATGGATATGAAAGTACGAATGTTCAAAATAATATTCATGAAGAGTTTGAATCAAATAACACAATTAATAATATGATTCCATTGGCAAGACACGGAGGGTTCGCAAACGCTGAAGGATTTGAAGTGAGGGATAGTTTCAAATCTTTTTTTAATAATGAAGGACAAGTACAGTGGCAATACAAAACTGTTTTAAGATCATAAATAAATATACTATTGTTATTATGATTTTTCGTATATAATTAATTTTGTAAATATACATTAAAGATTAATACCTTTTATAAGGTACCTTTTCGTATTTTTATAAGTAATAATTAATGACTTTAAAATGTATATTATGTTGTATTTCTAATCTTATGATTATTATTATTATTTTATCTTATAATTTTAAAAAAAGGAAATGTATTAAAAAATAAATATTAACTTACCAGTTTTTCCATTGAACGCAGTGGCGACTTCCCGCCATATGTTGTCTTTCATATGAATGTCTTTAAAATTTGAATCACTGTAGTCGTACAGTGATGGGTGATTCGAAACAAGTTCACAAAGTTTCGCTTCATCATCCCGCGAAAAATTCATTTTGTACTTAAAAATTTAGGCTGAAAGCTCTGAAAATTCAACTACACCGTTGCAGTGACTGCAGAAATACTGGTATTATTATCAGTCGTTGCGGTCGACCGCACACTGCACCTGCGACGGACGCACCAGTGCAACCACTTATCCAGAAACTCCCAATAGGTGTACGCGCGACCGTCGCTGCAGCAGCTGCACGCGGCGACTGCTGCAGTCGGTCGCAACAGCCAAACCAGACCTTTAGTCTGTATTTCATTAGCCCGCTGCCCGCAGTCCGCAGAATGAACATTGCTTTATATACGATAAAGTCATTATAGTCAATAGTCATTATGTGCAATAATATTATATCCGTCGACCACCACATCGTCGCAGTCGTCGAACATCGTCGTTTGCGGCGTTCCTAAGATGTTAACTTATATAACTTATTTAACTTATTATATTGCAATAAAATCATAGATAAGAATAACCCGAGTCCCGACGACGACCGACGGGTGACTATATAGGTATATCGTATAATATGGTCTATTAGAAATTAGTTTATCCAAATCCAACTATGATGTAGACGCAGACACGCCACTCGCAGTATAGCTGACGTAAGGCGTATTGTACTTTTGACTTTACTGAAAAGATTTCTTAAACAAAACGCGCAGAATATACATGAATGCACGATCGGCGGTTGCACCATTAAGGCATTAACTCACAGGTATCTATTCCTTTTTTTTTAGTTTTTTAGTTTTTATATCATTTTTCTGAAAAAAATACATAATTGATCAATTTATTGAGTGTAAATGTGTAATAATTCAATAAACAATACCTATTATATTTAATGTTAAAACAAAATTTAATTGATTCTTTGGGTTTTGACATACAATATTGAACACACTGCACACTAGCACACTACTGCAGTTTTCTACATGTGTGTGTCCATGTAAATTGGGTACTTTGTTTTCAATGCATTATTTTTAAAATCAGATTATTTTACAGAATTTATTGCTAAAATATGGGGAAGACAAAAAATAAATTGAATAGTGGTAGCCAAAATAGAAAAATTAAAGAACAAAAGTTATTAAAATTAGTTGCTAATGACAAGAATCAAAAGAAATTGTGTTTTGATTCATCTGTACCTTCAGTTAGTATAGAATTTTATGATACAGTCCACTGCTCATCTAACTCTAAAAATGTTGATCAGGATGAGTTCTTAAATTATAAAAATCAAACGGAAGAAAAAGAAATAATTAATGACATATCTGTATCGACTGTATCGAATGTAGAACCTATTACATTATTTAATTCAATACCGTGTACATCTGATGCAATGAATGAAGACAATGAACGAGTCATTGAAGTTGGAAAAGAAAGAGTTGATGAGGAATTAAAAAATTGTTTAGAACCTTTACAACCTGTTTCACTCTTCCCCTCAATGCCAAACACATTGAATAGTACAAATAAAATTGGTGAATCTGATTCTGAATCAATATATGTAGAAATTGGAATGGAACATGAAAATATTAAAGATGATTTTGAAACACATTTTGATGCTTTTGTATTTGTACCTCCAAATAAAAATGACAGCATAGTAGCTAAATTAAAATTTTTAGAGCACCATCCTATTCAACCAATTGTTATAAATAATTCCAAAGTTATGTTTGATCCCAGAAACATTTATTTTCGAAAAATGACAAATGATGATATTGTCGAAAGAAGATGGATTTCATATTGTTCTTTTACTAACAAAATATATTGTAGTACTTGCATGGCATTTTCAGTAGATTTATCCAATGCATTTGTTAATGGTGTAGTAGTTAATATTAAAAGCATTTATATAAAAGTTCAGAAACATGAAAACAGTGCAATACATAAAAGTGCATGTGAAAGTTATTTAAGAGCTTGTACTAACAAAAATATAGACGTCATACTTGAAAATTTTCATAATAAAGAAGTTGAAAAAAATCACATGGTCCTTGATAGAATAATAAGCATAGTAATTGTTCTTGCTAAACAAAACTTGGCTTTTCGTGGCCATAGGCATGAGTCTATTAGTGATCTTAATGATAAAACAAAATTTAATCACGGTAACTTTTTAGCAATAGCCCAACTTGTGGCAAAGTATGATCCAATTTTAAAATACCACATTGAAAATATGATTAAAAAAAGACAAAAAAAATCTAAAAGTCGTGGACGAGGTAGTTTGGTTAGTTTTATGTCAAAGTCAACTGTTAATAAAATTATTCAAATAATCGGTCAAGAGATTCAACACTCTATTTCTAAAGAAATAAAATCCACTGGTCAATTTTCTCTAGAAGTGGATTCCACTCAAGATATTTCAGTAACTGATCAATTGAGTATTTGTGTTCGTTATGTATACCAAGGATATGTTAAAGAAAGATTATTAGCCATGATTCCAATTAAATCATCTACTGGGAAAGATCAATATGAAGTAGTGAAAAATGTATTAAAAACATTGAACATTGATGTAAAAAATCTGATTAGCCAGTCTTATGATGGGGCAGCGAACATGAGCGGAGAGTATAGTGGGTTGCAAAAATATTTTAAGAATGATGCACCTGATTCAATATTCACACACTGTCATGCACACGTATTAAACTTAGTTATAGGTGATGTCACCAAGTGTAATATAGCTTCTCAAAACTTATTTGGCCTTCTACAAAAAACAGCGGTATTTTTTTCTGAGTCTCATAAAAGAGCTAATATATGGAAGGACATTTTATTTGAAAACCAGATTGGCCATGACAAAATGAGAAAACTGCAAAAACTCAGCAATACACGTTGGAATAGCAAAGACAAAGCTTTAAAGACAATTTTTCATTCGTGGTCAGAAGACGGCTCTAAGTGTGATCGTTATATTTGTCTACTTAATTCATTACACATTTTAGGTTATGATGAAAAGTTTATTAAAGATTCAAAAATGGCATCAGAGGCAAGAGCACTATTAGAAAAATGGACTTAATTTGAAATTATAATGATTGCTTTTATATATCAACAAATATTTTTTTTCACAACACCTGTTTCTAAGTATTTACAGACAGAAGGCATTGACTATGTAATAGCTTGGAATAAAATTGTAACTTTAACAACTAACATAGAGAAAATAACCGAAACATATGAACAAATTAAAAGTAGAGCTGTAACTTTCATGGACACGGTGGAAACTAAACTAGACCACTTAGAAAATATTTATATTCAAAATACATTTCCCACAAGAAGAAATAAAAAAACTAAAATACAATCTGGAGAATTCGGAAATGACTCAGCTACTAATTTCAGTCCAGAAAAGAAATTTAAAGTTGATGTTTTTCAAAGAATTAGTGATGTTGTATCAATGTCCATGAGGGAGAGATTTATGAAAAATAAAAAACTTTTTAATGCTATGGCTTATTTAGATCCAAAAAGATTCAATGATATCAATAATAAAATATTAGATTTTTCAGGTAAATATACATGAAAATATTATTCTAATTTAATCTTAATATAAATGCATGTACCCTATAAAATCTCATATCTTGAATGTATGTGAGAGCATGTTTATTTTTAGCATAATTATTATAATTTATAGATTTTATTTATTTTTACTGATATTAAATAACTAATATAAAAAATAAAATCGAGATTAATTCATTACAATTTTGAGAGAACATTTTTTAAACCAAAAGTATATAGATTATAGATATTTTTTTCCATATTAAAACCTAAAAACCGCTAAAAACCGCTAAAAACCAATTATTTGCTTCATAAAGTATATAATATATTATCTGAAATATTATGTTATAATGTTGTAATAAATTTAAAATGTTTGTAATTCAGTATAAATACTATTTAAAATGTTATACTAATTTAGTATTATTTGATAAAATAATATCATTAATAATAATTAATATTGAGTCATATTAACAGACTTAATTTCTTAGTTTCTTCAAAAGTTAGATAAAATCAAGGCTGGGCAATAACAAGTTAATAAGTTAGAAATTATGTTAATTTTTAGATATTAACTTAACTTACTAGTTTATTGTTTGAATTAACTTAATTGAGTTTAAAAGTTTTTGAAACTTGCCCAGCCTTGGATAAAATTAATTAAGTAATGAATTGAATACCTACCTACCTACCTACCTACAACCTATCTATGAAATAGTTCTAAATACTATTATATAATAATTATTAATTAAACATATAATTTTAGAATTATATTTTATAACTATGTAGGTAGGTAGGTACTTACCATTTTTTTTGTCTTACACAAGTATTATATTATTAAGATTAACTATATTATTATTATCATAGATGGTGCACTTGAATTCCTTTGTGTAAAAGCTAAATTACAATTTGAAGAAGTAAAAAGTGAATTGTGCAATTTTTCAATATCTTTTAAAACGATGGTCAGTGCTAGTATTGGAAATGCAATTATGCCAGCAAAACACAATGATGATTCTGAAACTGATTTGAATGAAGATAATGGTAGTATACACAAAAATATTATTTACTTGGCTACTTGAGAACATAGAAATATTTTTTTTTTAGACCAACAGGATACTGATGAGAATGAATCTATACATAATAATGAACTCGATAGCTGTCAATTTTGTTTACCATGCGTGTTTCAAATATTGTGGAAATTCAATTTACATTCTTCAGCTTATTCGAATGTGTACTTATTATATAAATTTGGGACCTTTTCCGTTAATTCACTACCACTATTTTTTTTTTGGTTTTTCCGTTTTTTTTTTTTTTAGATTATTATTCACTACCACAATTTTTTTTTTTTGGTTTTTCCTGTATCTTATGTTATTGACTTATCTTATCGCTTTCAAAGAACACGCGTAGGGTCAGTCAATGGTTGAATTTGAGTAGGTAACCATGAATTTCCTTACTCTAGCTAGCGAATGCGATACAAAGTTAAATGCAGTGAGTTTTTTACAAACTCGTGGCATATTGCATAATCCGAGATTGTGTAAAAATAAACATGAAATGGTTTTGAAACTCACTGAAAAACAAATTTGTACTAACATTAGCATGCACTCAAGTTTATTGTGAACGGTCTTTTTCAAAATTAAAAATTATCAAAAATAGACTAAGAAGTACCCTTTCTGAAGAATTGTTGAATGCATTAATGTTAATAAGTACTGAACATGATCTTATTCCTGATACTAATTATATCATAAAAAAAATATCTGAAAGTTCAGACTTGCTTGGTAAAATATTATAAATTTGGCAGGTAGGTCGTAGGTACCTCATACCTATGCAACAAGTCAATGATAACAATATTACACATAACTTGTTTCATATTATATGTAGGTACTAGGTAATATAAAAATATTTAAAATGTAGAAGTTCATTATTAAATATTAATTTATACATTCAGTAATATTGTAATACAAAGAATATCATGTACTTACCTATGTATAATGTACATTATAAGTTTACTTTTATTTTGTATCAATAATGAATAATAATAATATGTATCATAATATAAATATATTATATCTATAATAATACATGGCGCAATATATAATATTTTTTTGTAAGTTATTTTTTTTTTTGCTTGGATTCAACAGTTTTCAAGGTTCAATTTTTAAAGATTTTAATTTGTCGTGGTTAATTTATTATTTTTATTAATATTATAATTATTGTACTGCAGGTGAACATAAAAATGTATATCAGTATAACTGAGATTTATGAGTATTGCACTTAAGTAGAAAGTATATCCTTGTTTAATCATTTATCTACTACCTACCTATGTCGCAATCCCTAAAATCGGATTTATGATATTTTAAAAGTAATTAAGTATAATATTTGAATGTGTTATGTGTAATTACGGACCATTAATTCATTTTTATTTTTTTACCATACAACTGTAGAACTTTGTAAATTTGTAATTTTTTGAATGGCTGTTGTAATTTGGCACCTATTTACATTTTTAACGTATTTACAATATTTTATTAAAAAAATATTTTATTAAGAAAATGTTTAAATATTTTATAAATAACCTACATATTTAAAATTTGCCCCCAAAATTTGTTTTATTTGCCCTTTAAATTATTTAGCATCCCGCGCCCTTTTTTACCAGTCCGCGCCTGCATGTTTACAAAAGGTTATCTACCAAACTGGTCTACTGAAATATACGAGGTTATTAAAATAAATAAAACATTACCAGTTACATATCAGTTACAAGTTTATATGGTTAAACCTATAGCCGGTTGTTTTTACTCTGAAGAAATATTCAAAACTAATTTCCCTAACGAATATTTGATCGAAAAAATTATACGTAAAAAACCTAACCAAATATTTGTCAAGTGGCTCGGATTTGATAATACACATAATAGTTGGATAAAAACACGTGATGTTAAAAAATAGTCTCAGTCGTTTTAAAGCTATGAACGTGTTTGGTAGTTCTCAGTCGGGTGATACTAAAAATATTATTACAAATATTGAACAGTCTTTCAAAACATATACACATAAATTTGATAAAATCGAACATTTACTCGAACATAATTACAAATCTATTCATGCACAGGAAGAACAAACAGAAATATTAAAATCGTGTTTAGATATAGTGGAACGTATGAGTAAAATTGAAGCTTCATTACAAAATATCGGAGAAAATACCGACGGTTTGAAAAAAATATTTCCTGCTATACTAAACCGGCTCAATACTATTGAAACTTATTATAAAGACAAGCCATAATGTCTTCAGCCATCTTAGACATGCAATGTGTTCTTGGAGCTGGCAATAAGTATTTTATTAAACAGGTTCTCATTATAATTTGTACAGTGTTTGAACGTACACTTGTTTATACGTTTTTGCAACCTCCTCTCACATGACACCAACTCCATCTTCATCGCCTTGCGTTTTGACTGCATTGTTTTAACTGTAAAAATAAAAATGTTAGTAAAAATAGAATAAATTTAATAAATAAAGTGACATACCAAATACAGCGTTATTCATTAATTTAAAAAAGTCTTTCTCAAAATCATTCTTCGCCTTCTTCCTCATCTCAGTATTCAACTCAATATATTTAGCCAGCCAATCTGACTGGTTAAACTGGATAACTCTATGTACCTATAAGAAAAAAATATTAAACATCTGTTTAAAATCTTATAAAATACAAATATTTACTTTTTCAACTATCAACCCGTTCTTAATCGCCTGCTGCAGATTTCTGTAGTGTATAACGTAATTTTCATTCTTTTCAAATGTCGCCATAAACTTTCTAACCTTTGACCCTCTGGGCACACTGTTTTGCGGGAGGAACGGAAGATCAGAGTGAAGATTATGTAGCTCTTTCGGGCAAGAGACAGTAACTTCATATACACGACCTATGGGGGAGGTGTCATCCAAATCATCCAATCCGTTTAATGTAGGTTCAACCCAGTTGAACCCACCGTACGGCATGTACTAGGACATTGCCCACCCGTACAAGTTGTTACCTATAAAAATAAAAAATATTAATGAGTATGAAAAATTAATAAGTTTTGAAAAATATACTTACAGTCCTGATATATTATCCACGATCTATCTTTAATCTCTTCGTAATGCAGGGTCTTGACATTATTCGCCTTCGCATACCGTTTGCTCGCTTGCACTAGTCCACCACGTATACCTATAAAAATAAATAAAATTATTATATGTCCATTTTTAAAAATAAAAATAATATACTGACCATTTTCGAACATCAACAACATGTCGTTATAATGCAATAACTGCAGCTATTGACCGGTAAACTTAAGCATCACATCAAAACTCAAGCCTGGGGCGGTGAAATAATGAGCGGCGTCCAAGTTGTATGCCCTCATGCATACATCGCGGAAGTTTTCAAAGACGTCCGCCAACAACAGCACATCGATTTTCAAATAAAAGTCACTGTACTCGCCCAACGTCGTACAGCAGTAGTGGTCCCAGACCTCCTTCGCGTGTTCAAAATCTTCCTCCTTAATCCCGGTCTCTGTCAACGAACTATAAAAATCTCGCTTCCTCGGTAAATTTGTCTCGTCCAGCTTACTCCAACTATCCGTGTACTCGTATGGGTACACCCTCTTACGATTCACGAGCGGCATATCTCCGGTGACAAAATGTTTGGCTGTCCCACGGAAGTTGTCATGTTCGGGTGTAACTAAATTTTCAGCCAGGGACGACAGACTCGACGTCATAAACCGGAACGTGTCGATAAACCGAACAATGAAGGTACTACTTATATATTTCAAGAAAGATACATACTTCTCTTCACTGTTCGGTATAACATTGATAGTCTGAGTATCATATCCAAGTTCCGTTACTATAAGATGCGCATCATAGTTTGAGAGATTATGGAAAAATACGGGGATAAATTTAGGTTGTTGTAACTCTAAGTTACACCTAGAGCACAAGGTCTGCCTAAATTTCCCCGTCAAATGATCATGATCCCTAACCTTATCGCCCCCGGCTAAACTACATTTACATAAATTACACGTATTACACTCTTGGTGTGTTTTTTCTTCACCTTCGGTCATGATTATAGGAATATTTGTCTTCATCAGTTTCTCAATTTTCTGGGACACCTCAACTATCGGCTCCACAAAATGTTTCGCCACGTCCGTCCTGTTTTCGCTGCCTCTGTAGATTACCGGCCCCGCCGGTATCTCGTACTCGGCCAATAACTCCTCCGGTACGTTGTCGCCCGCCTTCACCAAAAATCCGTAACTCATCGCTTCGTGTCTCTGTACAATTGTTGTTTTTTCGCCCTTCTTTTTCTCCATCTTCACTAACAATGCTTCGAAATCCGCGTATATAACAAACGGGTGTCACTGTGTCTTTTTCTACGCCTTAAACTCAACGCTATCACCCTCCTTAGGAATCTCCGATAAAATAGGTTTGTGCGCCCTGCAAATCATTTTGTGTTGGTTCAGGGCCTCCTGCCCGCTCAGCTTATGACGCCTGTCATCGAATGACGTTAAACACCTTTTACAAAAAACAGCGTGTCCGTCATGTCTTGTTTTCTGCGCGCGCACGAGTCGTGAAAAATTAGAAATGTATGTATAATGCGAGTTGTCACTGTCCGTTACCAGTAACAGGTCAAAATGATCAGTTTTCTCCTCATCTACCACACGCAGCGGATAGACCTCATACCTCGGCAATTTTGGTATTTGGAATTTTTTTTCGAGGTCGTACACGTTTATAAATACATTTACATTATTTTTTTCGAATTTTGTGATGTCCGAGAGAGGTGTAGGGAAGGTTATGCCATCAAAATTATATTTGTCCTCATGCTTTTTATAATTTTCTCCGACACAATATTTATATTTATCAGATAAATTTTCGGTCACGTGCCTCGCGAGAATCACTCACTTGAAGCACTCATGGTCTATATTCTGAGGATTGATGGTGGCTCGCTTCCTGTCGATATACGTCGGTAACTCTTTATATGATGAACCGCCCATCGGTGTATATTTTTACACCGACAATAATAACCCGTCTATGGACTCTAAAGTAAAACCGCTACCTCTTCCAATATATTCATCCTTCTCCTTCATCAACTTCATATACGCTATCTCTACAATTGTTCTAATGTCGCAGCCAGGAAAAATTTCTACCGCCGAAGTCTTGAATGCTCTGTTCTCCGACGAATTGGGTACGTTCGGACGATTGTATGTCACCTCGAGCTTCAAATTAAATTTAATCGCATGTTTTTGTACGTACGTTTTCAATAAATGTAATGCTCGGGTATAAGTGGTTGGAGAAAGTCAGAATAAATCATTGTATTATCCAGATTTTTAGTATAGTACCACACGATTTTACGGGCGTAGCCGTTTTCGGCCAAAATGTACCCTTCCCTTTTCGGCCAGTGTCACTTTTCGGCCAGTGTCACTTATCGGCCAAAAATTACCGTTCCCTTTTCGGCCAAAACTTATCGTTCCCTTTTCGGCCACTGTCACTTTTCGGCCAGTACCTACAGTTTTCTTTAAAATTTACGAAAATTAACTTAACAATTTTTATATTTAATTAAATATGATTGTATCTAAAAATTACATTTTTGGGTAAACATTACTAACTACAACTGAGTGAAAAAATAATAAAATAAAACAATTGGCAATAAAATGATTTAACATATTATTACTTAGTCAAATAAATTAACAATTAATTTTTGTTTGAAAAATGTTACTATTTTTATTATTTTTACTTTTCAATGTAAGTTTAATTTCGTTCATAGTTGGTTTTTTGGAAATAAAGATAAACCAGTGTTTTTCCTTGTTTGATATATATAATATAAAATGCGCCCCAATCAATTACAGTGATGTGTCCAAAGTATACCTATAGACTCTATAGATAATATAGTATACAATACGTATAACATATAATATAGTACCTTGTCGTTTTCATCTTATCTAATATATATATTATATTATGGAAAACTAATTAGGTATATGTTATCGTGGTCGTCAATTTAACACAACACACACACACACACACACACACACACACACACACACATTGTACGAAACGATAATAAACACTCAGTACGAAAGTGTTCTCGTATACATAGGTACCTACATACAGACGTTTTTTTTTAAATTAAAATTAATTAAATTATAATTTATAATGGCCGAATTTATTGAAAGTAATCGGGGAAAGTCTTTATTAGTTTTTAAACTTTTTAAATTTTCAAAAGCTAATACAAAATTGGACGGCACAACTCGTTGGAAGTGCATTGATCGTAAGTGTGATGCTATTGTATATACAGATCAAACAAATAAAATTTGCTCAGAAAGCGAGAATGTAATACACATAAACCATGGTCCATATACAAGGAATTTAATTGATCGTCAAATAATTAATTCAGCTTGTAAAAGAAAAGCTGAAGATGATCTTCATTGTAGACCAAAAAAAATTGTTATGCAAGTGATTTGTAAAAATACGTCATCGAATGCCAATATTATAGACGTTAAAAGAATAAGCAAAAATATTTATGAAAAGCGTAAAAAAATTCTTCCTGCTGTACCTAAAGACCTCGCCGGAGTACATAAAGCTTTAGAAGATACGAAACCGGTGACGAAAGAAGGTGAGCCTTTTTTATTATTTAATGACATAGAAAAACACGTTATTATATTTTCTTGTAACACAAATTTAAAGTTATTATCGGAAATAGATTCAATATACATGGATGGTACATTTAAATTTTGTCCTCGGTTTTTTACCCAAATGTTTACCATCCACATACTTAAAAATGGACATTATATTCCTATTATATTTTGCTTATTACTAAATAAAAGTTACGAAACTTATGTATATACTTTCAATAAAATAAATAATTTATTAAATGAATTAAGTATACAATTTTCTCCAAAATGGGTCACGATAGACTTTGAGATGGCAATTCACAAAGCTGTTGAAGACGTTTGGCCTAACACTGAAATAGTGGGTTGTAGATTCCATTTGACCCAAGCTTGGTGGCGAAATGTACAAAAATTTGGATTATCTGTAGATTATAATGATATGTCATCTGAAATAGGACAATGGATTAGACACACTTTTGGATTATTGTTTTTAGACCCATATGAAGTATCAGAATGTTTTGTAAACGATTTTATGTCGGACTGTCCTGATGATGAAAGATTAAAAAAATACTGTGATTACTTGACTGACAATTTCATAAATGAAGAGAGCTTATTTCCACCTCAATATTGGGCTGCTGCGTCGGGAAGTTTGGCTAGAACCACTAATGCTTGCGAGTCGTTCCACTCCTTTTTCAATCAAAGTTTTTATAAACATACTCCATCCATAATGAGCTGGTTATCTATCCTTATTAATGAAGTTCAAACAGATATATACATAAAAATTAGAAGTATCAACATTATAAAAACACCTCGTGATGCAAAAAATGTGGAACGGCAACGACAAAATGAAGCTTACATTGAAGACTATAAAAATAGTAAAATATGTCGTTACAAATTTGTGAAACAAATCTCATACAATTATAAAAAGTGAATTTTATTATTATTACATAGGGATTATATGACTATATTAATTTTTTCAACTAATGTAATTATTACGTATTATAAGACTATATTAATTTTTTTATATTATCAACTATATCACTATAATCATGACTACAATATTATCATAATATTTTGACATATTCATAAATTTATATTTTTATTATCGTCTATCATAATTATTATTATATACCTTCTTATTACCTATATGTATTATATGACTATATTAATTTTTATTCGATAAATTTATTTGATAACATTGATTATAAATACTAATATAATATAATAAATTGTAATAATAATATGTTATACCAGTTTATTGCCAATTGTTTTATTTTTTATTTAATTAAAAAGTTCGTTTGTTATTATTGTAAATTTTAACTGTAGGTACTGGCCGAAAAGGGACACTGGCCGAAAAGGGAACGGTAAGTTTTGGCCGAAAAGGGACACTGGCCGAAAAGGGAACGGTAAGTTTTGGCCGAAAAGGGACACTGGCCGAAAAGGGAAGGGTACATTTTGGCCGAAAAGGGGGCCGCCCGATTTTACGGCTCGCAGACGACAAAATTTCTACGAACCTGGGGACCTTCGCCATTTCCATACGCGTCTTTTTTGCACTAGCAGCTGAGGTGGTATTGGCCGTCGAAACGCGTTTACCATTTATGGCTACGGTGGAAGAATCTTCAAAAATAAAAAATACATAATATCAATATCTAATAAATAAATTTAATGCTGAATCTAATAAAAATCTAATCAACCTGCGACTGAGAAATAAAATCCAAGCAGCTTATAAAATAATATCTGTCTTTTAAAATTTAAAAATCTAAAGATATAGCTACATATTAAAAAAAAAAAATCTAAGTAATTGATAAATAATTCATATTACTATATTTTATCGTCATCGTGCAAATAATTCGCGATGGGTAATTTAAAAAATCTAATCATCGAATAATAAAATAAATCTAAGTATTTGATAAATATTGAGGGTTGTACGGTAATTTGGTGCACGTATTTTAAAAAATTTAATTAACTTGTGATAAATCTAATGATATAGAAGCGTCTTTTAAAATAATGTAACGTATTCGTTTAAATAATTTAAGACGTTTAAATTCAGTTGGTCTTTTAAAAATTTAATTAATTCTGATAAACAAAATAAAACTAACCTGTATCCTCATATTCGTCCATAGCTGCCATACACATCTCGTCTTCAGATATCATATTCGAACTACCGGCCTGGAGATCGGGTACAAATATTTGTGGCGCGATTTGGATCTGCGGGGTGGTAGGAGACGCGAACTGTATCACGCTCGGTCGTGCCGGCTGATCGATGATCGGTGCAGCGGGCATGGGTCTCAAATGGTTCGGAACGTTAACGATACCTCAGGAAAAAATAATATAAATTAGTATTGTATAAGATAGAAATAAAACTTTTTATGTTTAATACATACCATGAATGTTCTTCTGATGTCTATTAAGATGCGACTTATCGTTGAATGTCGAAGGGCAAACAGTACACAAAAAACGTACACCTGTATGCTTCTTTTGGTGGGTAACCAAATTGCGTTTCGTGGAGAACCCGACGGGCACTGTACGCATTTAAACATGTTTAAAATGTTAGAATTCATGACTTTAGACAAAAATTAAACACAGAGTGATAATTTAAAATACTGTTTAGTAAGGGCTGTGAAAACACGGAGAGAGCAAAGGTAATGTAAACGTAAAGGTCTGGGTGTCTGGAACAGACTGACTCTGTCTTGGCGGACAACGGAGCGAGTGTCCTGAAATCTCAGCGTTTTTGGTGTGGGTAAGCTGTGTGTTAACAAAATATTAATTGAGTGTTTACTATGATAAATGTGTACATCACCAGATATTTTCATCGATTTTCGAAACCATTGTATTGGTCGACAATTCTATGAAT